GTGTAATTTTCTCCTATTTTTCTTTATAAATTTTAAAATCTATTTAGGTAAAATAATAACAATGACACCTATTGAATTATCCAACTTTGATGTATATATATATTTGATTTAGAGAAAGATTTTCTTGTTAAGATTTTGGTATTATTTTCTGTTTTCCATAGAATTTCTATAGTTCTTTTTTTTTCTTGAAGGTTTATGTGTTCACATATTTAATTTATTAAAATTCTTATTGATGTTATGTACCAGTGCATATATAATTCATAATTCATGTTGATTCGCATTTAATTTTGTTAGGAAGCTGCAATGATTATGCAAAACCATTATTTCCTTCTCCACCATGTCTTCCAAGAGTTTTATGTTATATTTTTATTTAGTTTTTATTGATATCGATCTATTTTCTTATAGTCTAATATTTGATAATTTTAGTTTTCTAACTTGTAGGATCGGTGGTGTGGAGTCTTTGCATTATTTTCACTGTTTTTATCTTTGGTGTGCAATATGCATGCTTTGATTTGAATTTTTCATCTACATATAGCAATTTGAGTTTGATTCATAACTATGTTATATTTTATTATTTAAATAAAATTTTAGAAAGTGTTATTGATGTTGATTTATATATAAGTAGTGGCTATGTATAGAAATCATATTTTAAATATCGAGTGTGAAGTTATTATAGTGTTTTTAAATCTGAAACATCAAGTATATTAATCATTGTATATTTAAAAATATGTTTGGCTTAGAAAGTCATGTAAAATTATTGCAACTCTAGATAGTTATTCATTGTTGATACTAATACTTTAGAAATCAGAAACTTTTTGAAACTAATTTCAAATTAATTTTGTTTTTTTGTTGTTGATAATTTACATCTTTTGATAGTAATTTTTTATTTCTTTTAATTTATATACTTTTTATATGTTTGATTTACTTAAGACTTATATTCTTTTTATTAAGCTCTTTTGTTATTGATTCTCCAAATAAGTATCATAGACATCACATTAATTTCTTTTATACAAATACTTTTTCTTTGTTAAATTTGTTTTTTATAATTTTAATTCTAGTTATAATGCTGATTTGATATGCTCTAACTGTTAAATTTAAATTTTAGTTGGACTTTTCTAAAAAGCTTATAACATCATCTATTTATTTTTATTAAGTTTTTTTATATTGATTTTCAAAATCTTTAGCCCAAGTTAGTTTTCTTTTATACAGCCTTTTATTTTGTTAATTTGCCTCTTTTGATAATGATTCCTATTTATTTTGAAACATAAATTTATAACATGTTGAAAAGCTTTTGATAAAAACATGTTTAATTTCTCATTATATCATAATAACTTCAAAACAGTTTGGTTCATATCTAAAAACACAATAGGAAATTAAAGTATGGTGAGATATATGCATGTGAGTGTACTTATCATGTCAAATAGTCAGTATTGTCAGTAGTTGCTTCAATATTTTTATCAGAAAAAACCGGGTGGAAAAAGTGGAGTTCAAAAATAATACTTCTACATGATGCAATTTAAAGTATGGTGTTAAGAGTTAAATAAATCTTATTATCTAATTTATTTCAGGATTTATCATATTTTCATAAACAATAGTAAAACAATGGTAATTATATATTTAAAATTACGAACCTTGAAATGTTTTAGAGTTCATAACTGTGGTTAGGAGCACGACAGGTTTAACAACACTTTTCGTTATTTTTCTTTGAAAATTGACGGAAGAGTAACACGAGCAATTGGCTCACTGTTTAGAAAATGTAAAATGGTGGTAAGTAAACATAGATTGTATTCCAGATTATAATATATATAAATGACTTGTTGGGAAAACATGCTTATCTTTTTAATTGTAAGTGAACATTTATTTTATTATGACTTCCACCATTGGCGATATCATTAGCTTAACTCGTCAAAAAAGTTCTTCTCGTTCATGATGATCATTTTTCTAATAGCATCTAGACTGTATATACATTATTATATATTTGTATATGTGCAATACATTATAAGTTATAAATTTTTCTAATCTATGCTATAAGTTTTAATTTTTACGATATTGATTTTTTGGTTAGTTTGACTTTTTTACATTTAATTTCCATTTAATTTCAAGGGATACTATATTTTGGTCTTTTAATATAATTTTCTTTTCTATTTGTTACTTAAGCTTATTTGTTTTTAATTTTTTCATTTATAAAATGAAATTAATGTTTTTTTTATTTTCTTATCAATTAATTAAGAAGTTAGAATTTTTCTAACCTACATTATAATTTTGAGCTTTTATGATATTGGTTTTTTTGTTTGTTTATCTCTTTTGAAAACAAATTTCCATTTTATTTTAAACGATACTATTTTTTTTTGGCTTTTTAACATAATTTTATTTTCTATTTGTTAGTTAAGACTTTTTATTTTAATTTTTTTTCCATCTATAAAACGAAATTAATGTTTTAACTTTTAAATATGCTATATTTTGGTCTTTTTTAACACAATTGTTTTTTCAATTTGTTACATAAGATTTTTTATTTGATTTTTCCATCTATAAAGTGAAATCAATGTTTTTATATTTTCTGGTCAATTAATTTAGAAGTTAGAGCTTTCCTAGTCTATATTATAAGTTTGAACTTTTATGATATTTATATTTTTTTTGTTAGTTTAACTCTTTTGAAAAAAAAATATATTTTATCTTTAAGATAATTATTTTTTTGGGTTTTTAACATAAGTTTCTTTTTTATTTGTTACTTAACTTTTTTATTTAATTTTTCCATGATTAAAACGAAATTAAGGTTTTAATCATATTTAATATTTTTTTTTAATAAAAATTGCTGATGTGGACCAATCATATCGAGTTTTTTAATCCTATGTAGACGTATATAGATTATAGATGTATATTTAATCTGATTTTTTAAAAAATTGAATAGAATAATAAATCTGCATGTAAATATCGATATAGAACTTATCATATAATGTTTTTTTTTAAAAAAAAATGTACGTTTTTAACTTAATGTAATAATATATATTGATTTGATTTTTCTTAAATTGAATACGCTCATATATTTGTATGTAAATAATTAACCCACAATCTTATTAGAGTGAATTTATGCATTTAAAATAATTTTTCACATAATGGTTTTTATACAAATGTACGTTTTAAACTTTTTTGTGATAGTATATTTAATTTGAATTTTTAAAAATTGAATACAATCATATATTTGCATGTAAATATTAATAATTGTTTTATGAAATATTACATATAATAGTTAGGATATCTACCAAAATATTATGCATGTAAAATTATAAATTAAACATATTTTGTTGGATTATTGACTTAATTTTTTAAAATTATCTTTTAGTTCATGTAATATTGAATATTATATATTTGCATAGAAATATTAGTATTTGAATAATATGTATTTATATTAGAGGTTAGCCTATCAAAAAATCTACAATGGCATATCATATAATTAGTTTAGTAATATAAATATTTTTTTTAAGTTTTTTGAAAGCTCTATGGTGGTGACATATCATCATGACACCACAGTAAATACTTATTAAACTAAGATTATTTTCTAAAAATATTTTTTATATAAATATGATAGCCATATATTTCAACCTGTTATACAATATTTGTATAGAAATCACATCATTATCTCCATATAATAGATTTTTTGAAAATGTTATAGAGTTTTTGTTTTAGTTATTTTGCTATCTCAAAGTAAATTATAATTTTATAACTATATACAAAATTACATTTTTAAATTTTACCTTAATTAAGCTCTTAAAAATCTAGGCAACCGCACAGGTCACATTCTAGCTCATTTCATATCAAGTTGTCGTAAGCCTTTATGAGACTTTCTCTATTATCATACTATCATTTTCACCGGTGAAAATTTCCTTTTAGAAACCCTGACCTTTATGGTGATGAGGAGACTTTTCTCTATCATAACGTAAATGATACGTCGAAAACTTGATTGTCCTTAAGTGCAATGTCTCTACTCAAGACTTAAACGTTGGAGATAACGACATCGTTTCCCGATATTTATTATTTAACGTGTTGGGTTTGGGTCAGCTAAAAAAACATCGATGTCATGTACTAAAGTCACAAGGTAGGTTCACAACGACCATTGAAATCAAATCAAAGCTATAAGAGCATCTGTAATTGAAATCTTTCTTAAAAGTTTCTCAATATAAAAATATAATCTTATTTAACTAATCTATATATATATATATATATATTGTTTAGATAAATCCTTTAACAAAAAAAACATTGTTTAAATAAATATTTTATTAATAAATTTGATTCCTCCCAAAATCTTTTAAATGAGAGACTAATAAAATATTAGTTTAAATCTATATATACATATTGATAAATAAAATATGAATATATTATTATATTGAGAGATTCTTGCAAAGACTTTCAGTATAGGTATAAAACAGATTAACAAAAAAGAATCTCACTATAGGTGGGTGGAAGCCTAAAAACATCTGCATTGGTTAAACTTTTTTTAGAGTCTTTTACCAAAAATCAGATAATGATTTTTAATTAGTTTTAAGTTATTTTTAGTTAATTTAAAAAAATCCTTTGCTGCCAAAACAAAAAATAATTTAAAAAATTAAAAAGATTAAACAATTATACGTATGAGAGATTCGAAAATATGTATCCTTTTATATAATTGGCTCAACCTTTTTATATTTAAAATTTTAACTAAATTATCAACATATTTTGATATAATAATATGATTGAAATACGCTAATAAAAATCTTTGGTGATGGAGTTGCTCTCAATAAGTTTTTTTAAAGCTAAAGATGTAGGCCATATATCAGCACACTAATACCTACACACAATTACTCTCAGTATTTGGAATTCAAGCGATACTCACTCGTTTTCTCATCTCACCTATTATAAATATATAGCAAAACTCTAAAATATATTATTACTTCTTAACATAACGAAGTAATACAAGAAAAGAAAAAAGGAAAAAAAAAGGTTTTAATCATCATTACTAAAGAAAAATGGAGAAATGCCTTGCTTTGATGATCTTTCTCGCTTACTCTCTTCTTCTTGTCCTTCAAAACCTCGAATTCGTTCACGCCCTCGGGTGTGCCGGAATCTTCTTCAACAGTAACAGCAGCTACGTTCAGAATCGCCGCAATCTCTTCTCTACTCTTGCTTCAAAAGTCGTCGCCAACGGTGGATTCTACAACACTTCACTCGGCAAAAGTCCCGACAGAGTTCACGCTCTTGTCCTCTGCGCAAGAGGCTACGAGGAACAAGCTTGCATCAGCTGTGTCGAAAAAGTGACTCAGCAGATACAAACGGATTGTCCAAATCGCATGGATTCGTTCAAGTGGGACAATGACGATGGAGACCATGTGTCTTGTCTTGTACGTTCCTCAAACCACTCAACTTTCGGTAGCCTCGAGCTTGAACCTGCTATCATCTACCCAAGTCCACTTAGTATCGAGCCATCCAAGGACATGACCGTTTTCAGAAAACAGTGGGAAGCAACGGTAAATCCCACCCTATATGCTGCCATGGAAGCTGAAACTTCCTCGGTACTTAAGTACTATAGTGCCGTAGAAGCCGAGTTCACGGAGTTTCCAAATGTTTACATGGTGATGCAATGCACACCAGACATAACTTCCAAAGATTGCAAGATATGTTTGGAAGAGTGCGTGAAGTATTATAAAAAACAGTTTTGGGGAAGACAAGGAGGCGAGGTTAGTCGTCCGAGCTGTGTTTTTAGGTGGGATCTATATGCTTTCCATGGTGCTTTTGATAATGTAACAAGATTCCCTGCGCCTCCTCAAGATCAGGCTCAGGCTCAGGCTCAGCCACCTCCAATGGAAAGTTCTATAGAACACAAGAAAGGTATAACAAATGAGTAAGAGCAATTTTCACAATCTGTAAAATGATAAGAGGGATAAGAACAATAAGGGTTAATAATTTGCAGGAGGAGGGATTAGGTATGGTGGAATTATCGCGATAATTGTGCCTACTTTCATTAATCTTTTGGTGTTTATTGGTCTCGTCACATTCCATGCTCGGAGGAGAAAATCAAATAACGGAATCAATGGTAAGTGTATGTATCCTGTTTCTTGCTTCGTTGAAATATATAGAGTAAAAGCATCACCATCAGTAAGTTTTTAAAAATGGGTTCTTATATTAAATTTAATAATATTTTAATATAATAATATTATCTAATTAAATTTTATTTTATTTTTAAAAGGTAAACTAATAAGATCATACAAAAAATAGAGATAGTTTCTAAAAAAATTGAAACAGAAGGCAGTTCTCCTACATCTCTTTTCCTTTTTAATTTTTTTTAGATTTTTTTATTATTTAGAACTCGAGTTTAAAACTTCTATAAAAATGGTCTAAAAACATCATTTTTGAAGAGATTCATATGAATTTCTAAATGATGTAGCATATTAACAAAGAGTAAAAAAAAAAATATGGATAAGAATTGGTTCTTATAGAAAAGTCTATAAAAACAGTTCTAATTTTTTTAATAATAAAATATTTTAAGAGCTTCAATCACCAATTCTTATTGTTTTTGTCCCTCTCATTAATCTCTTTACTGCTATATCTTGCCCATTTGGTAATAATTTGCCTACTTCAAATTTTATAATTTTTAGAAAGAAAAAAGGTCTAAATTTGTTTTTTTTTTTAAAACAAATTTATACTAAAAAGGTCCAAAATTGTTTTTTTTTCTAATAAAAGGGTCCAAAATTTTTTTTTGGGTCTAAGAACATGTTCAATGGAGGTATTTTAAGAAATATCTTAGTATTAAATTATTTAAAAAAATTGAAAATCATGAAAGAAAAAGAAGAATCAGCTCTTATATAGGGAACTTAAGAAACTATTCTTAACTTTTTCTAACACATGTCATTTAATTACTTGCTCATTTTCTTTAAAAAATCATGAGAGAGAAAATGGTAATTTTTTAACGTTTAGATATTCAAATGAATTGTAGCATTGTACATGGTCTAAGGTTTTTTAAAAAACCGAGACGGTACTGAATACTCGCTTTAAGGGATTATTTCTTTTGTATTTTAGTTGGTAGTGCAGAGTACTCTGATTCAGCTGGTCAATTTATGTTACGATTTGATCTTGGTATGATCTCAATGGCAACCGATGACTTCTCGTCTGAAAATAAGCTTGGCCAAGGTGGATTTGGTACGGTTCATAAGGTTAGTAAGATTATTTTTACTAATGATATGTTATTGATGGATCTTGATCTTGGAGAAGTAACAAATCTCGAGAACCGGTTTCAGGGGAGATTACCAAACGGGCAAGAGATAGCAGTAAAGAGATTAACAAAAGGTTCAGGACAAGGAGATACAGAGTTTAAGAATGAGGTTTCACTCTTGACAAGACTCCAACATAGGAATCTGGTTAAGCTTCTTGGGTTCTGTAATGAAAAAGACGAAGAGATTCTTGTCTACGAGTTTGTCCCAAACTCAAGTCTTGATCACTTTATCTTTGGTGAGAAAGACAGCGACATTTTCGATAATCTTAGAAACTCTTAGCAATGAGATGTTTCTATAAAATCTGCAGATGAAGAGAAACGTTCGCTTCTTACATGGGAAGTGAGGTTCAAGATCATAGAAGGCGTTGCTCGAGGTCTTGTTTATCTCCATGAAGATTCCCAGCTGAAGATTATTCACCGAGACTTGAAGGCAAGCAACATACTCCTAGATGCAGAGATGAACCCTAAAGTTGCAGACTTTGGGACAGCGAGGTTGTTCGACACTGATGAGACTCGAGCTGAAACCAAACGAATAGCTGGAACCCGGTAAGAACATATCAATCAACTCAGAAGACACGTATATATGCTAACCATAAATTTAAGTTACTAGTTGCATATATGCAGTGGATATATGGCTCCGGAATACCTAAATCACGGGCAGATCTCAGCAAAGTCCGACGTTTATAGCTTTGGTGTTATGCTTCTAGAGATGATAAGTGGTGAAAGAAATAATAGCTTCGAAGGAGAAGGACTCGCAGCTTTTGTAAGTTTCTTGATCCTTCCTTAGGTATATCTTCAAACCTCCGTAGAAAGTAAGAACATGATTTATTTGATTTTTGTTCAGGCATGGAAGAGATGGGTTGAACGAAGGCCTGAGATTATAATTGATCGTTTCTTGGCAGAGAATCCGAGCAACGAGATCATAAAGTTGATCCAGATTGGTTTGTTGTGTGTTCAAGAGAATGCAACAAAGAGACCAACCATGAGCTCTGTAACAGTTTGGCTCAGCAGTGAGACTATCACCATTCCTTTACCTAAGGCTCCTGCTTTGACATGGAGTCAATCCCTGATGAGGACCTCACCACGGACGAACCTCGGGTACCCATCATGTACGAACCACCAAGGACCCGCTCAGGTACAAGGACCATGAGGGAGGAGTTCAACAAAGCTGTAGAGAGCCTTCTCAACCTCAAGAGGACGGAGGACATCAGTCACCTGCTCAAACAGCTCATTATCAACAAAACGGACGAAGACATGACCGTTCGGGACGAGAGCATTACGGACCCCCGTACCATGGTCGAGAGCAGTACATACCACCCCCGTACCGCGGTCGAGAGCATTACAGGAAGTCTTACCGAAGGACCAAACAAGCAAGTGGGCCAAGACTTGGGATCATTCCACGACGTTCAAAGCCCAGCCACGTTCAAGGCCAGCTCCAGCTTAGACGAATGGCCACTACTACGAGACAGCCCCGGCCCAACCCTTCTCATCATCGCCCCACACCAAAACGACCAAGCTTAAGACAAACGTGGAAGCAAAGAGGCAACGGTAAGAATTTGTCATTGATTCCATAATATTTTGTGTTTTCCTTTTGTCTTGCAGGACTTTAATTTTAGTTTCTTTTATATTTTCTAGTATGAACTTTTGTAATCTTTTTCTTATGCACTTTTGTATTTTTGGTCCTTGCACTTTGTTTATTTTCGACCCTAGAAGGTCAAGGCTGAAGGACTATTAATAAAGTCCCATATGCAGCATTGTAGTTCACCTCTTTACCTATTATCAATAATGAACATACTTTCTTATCAAAGAGAGCCGCCGCCGAGTTCTAGAGCATTGTGTGGTTTCCCCCTTGTTCTTGAGTTCAAACTGACTTTATCACGGTCCAATCATCAACCGTGTGTGTGTCACTCGATCCATCCACTGTCCCATTCATTTGGTTAAGTAAAGAGAGCCATTTGGCCAGTTGCTTGATCACCATCCCACCTTAACACTCGTCACATACCGAATCTAAGTAGAGAGTGCCGTGTGGCCAGCTACTTGATTCCCCTTTGTACCGGTCATATAAGGTCATATCTTTGATCTTATATCATTTGGTATCAGAGCTTAAACGCTCCGACACCAGGTTTTATCTATCCTCTTAGATCTTTTGCTTTATTTCGATTGTTTGCTTTCCTTGTTGTTTTTCATAAATTAAGAAAACCCCATAAAGAAATCGTTTGTTGCTTTGCTTAGGTTGTTTCAATTATTTAAAAACCCCAAAAGAAGTTGTTTGTTAAGTTGTTAGATTTATTTTATAAAACCCCAAAAATCAAAAAAAAAAATTTAGCTAAGTCCTTTTTTGTCTTGCTTCGGCTAAAACCTTTGTTACACTTGTGCTTGTAATCTGTTTGCTAATCTACGCAGGCTAATAGATGGGAGAACAAGGAGCACCGGTTGACATGGCACAACTCCTAGGTGCTATCCAAGCCCTTGGCGAGAGGATCACTAGGATTGAGAGATTGCCGCCACCCCCACTTCTACCAAGGAGAGGACCTATAAGACAGCCCCAAGGACCAGTAGACCAAGGGGAGACTGATGAGGACATGCCGGGCTTAGATGATGACCCGCCACCAGCACCAAATGTTCAGAACCAACCCGCGGGACGAGCTAGGGATCCCATACACCGAGGACGTATCCGAGAAGAGGAAGCTTACCGACCCAACAACAATGATGTGAAGCTGAATGCCCCAACCTTCGCGGGAAGGGTTAACCCCGAAGCTTACCTAGAGTGGGAACGGCGAATGGAGTACATCTTCGAGTACTATGGTTACAATGACCAGAAGAAGGTGTCACTAGCAGCCGCTCAGCTAACTGACCACGCCTTGTCTTGGTGGGATAGAGATGTGTCCGAGAGGAGGAGGCATCGCCATGACCAGATCAATACGTGGGCCGAGATGAGGTTCAACATGAGGAAGCGGTACGTTCCACCTCACTTCCACCGAGACCTCCAGAAGAAGTTCCGCAAGCTGATACAAGGAAGCCGGTCAGTAGAGGAGTACTTCGAAGAGTTTGAACAGTTACGCAACCGTTTGGAGCTTGAGGACACGGAGGAGACCCTCATGGCACAGTTTATAGATGGATTGCAAGACCGTATAGCGAGAAAGGTCGAGAGGCAGCCGTACCACGACATGTCCGAGCTACTACACCTAGCCATACAAGCGGAGCAGCACGTTAAGAGGAAGGTAGCAGCTACTAGTCGTTCAAAACCAAACACCAGCTGGACCTCTACCGCACCAAAGGCGTATGATAAGGGCAAGGCAGTTGAGGTTGAATCCCGGTTCAAGAAGCCGTCAGCCGAATCCTCTAAAACAACTCGACCCGAGCAAGGTAAGCCCTCATTTGCCCAAAGAACACGTGACATTACATGTTATAAGTGTCAGGGAAGAGGTCATATGGCGAGGGAGTGCCCCAACAACCGCGTCATGATCCTCACGGCCGATGGAGGATATGAATCTCAAGACGAGATGGAAGAGGATACCACGGAGACCGGAGCGGAGGAGATTGAATACCCGGACTCAGGAGAGATGTTGGTGATTCGTAGAGCCCTTAGTGTTCTCGTGGAACCAGAAACGATTCAAAGGGAGAACATCTTCCATACCAAGTGCACCGTGAACGCCAAGGTATGTAGTTTAATCATAGATGGTGGTTCTTGCACTAACGTGGCTAGCAAGTACTTGGTAGATAAGCTAGGTTTGGAGACTACCAAGCACCCGAGGCCATACAAACTAAGGTGGCTCAATGATGACACGGAGCTTAAGATAGCGGACCAAGTAGTTGTCACTTTCAGCGTGGGAAGGTACCTAGACAAGGTGACGTGCGATGTAGTACCGATGCAAGCAGGACACCTCTTGCTTGGGAGGCCTTGGCAATTTGATAAAGAGGCTATACATCACGGCCGTACCAACCAATACACCTTCACACATGACAAGCGTAAGTACACCTTAGCGCCCCTTACACCTAATCAAGTGCATGAAATGCAACTCAAACTCGCTAAGGATGCAAAGGTAAGTAAAACTAACTTGTTTGCTTCTACTAAAGTTATTACCCGAGCTTTAAACTGCCAAGACATGGTGCTACTAATGGTCTTTCGAGAAGGGTTACTTTCAGGAGCTAGTGACGAGGAGATACCCACGGAGATAAGGGGATTGCTAGAAGCATACCAGGACGTGTTCCCTGAAGAGATACCCTCGGGACTACCACCCATAAGGGGAATAGAGCACCAGATAGACTTAGTGCCCGGCTCAGCCTTACCCAACAGGCCAGCTTACCGGATGAACCCCGCGGAGACTAAGGAGCTTGAGAAGCAGATACAAGACTTGATGTCTAAAGGTTATATTAGGGAGAGCTTGAGCCCTTGTGCCGTCCCCGTCTTGTTGGTGCCTAAGAAGGATGGTACATGGCGAATGTGCATGGACTGCCGTGCCATTAACAACATCACCATCAAGTACCGCCACCCCATCCCACGCCTAGACGACATGTTAGATGAGCTCAGTGGTGCTACCATCTTCTCAAAGGTCGATCTGAAAAGTGGCTACCACCAGGTACGTATGAAGGAAGGCGACGAATGGAAGACTGTTTTTAAGACCAAGCAAGGTCTCTACGAGTGGCTAGTAATGCCATTTGGTCTGACAAACGCCCCGGGTACTTTCATGAGACTTATGAATCATGTCTTGAGGACATACATTAGTAAGTTTGTTGTGGTTTATTTTGATGACATTTTGATTTATAGCCGTTGCCTTGAGGATCACTTAAAGCTCCTTGAGCAAGTATTAGAGACACTTCGTCAAGAAGGACTCTTTGCAAACCTCAAGAAGTGCATCTTTTGCACTAATGAATTGGTGTTTCTAGGTTTTGTTGTCAGCTCGCAGGGTCTAAGGGTGGATCAGGAGAAGATACGAGCCATTCAGGACTGGCCTACACCCTCTTCTATAGGGCATGTTCGGAGCTTCCACGGTTTGGCTAGCTTCTACCGGCGGTTCGTGAAAGACTTCAGCACCATAGCCGCCCCTCTCACTGCCGTGATCAAGAAGGATGTAGCCTTTAAGTGGGGGCCAGCACAAGAAGAAGCTTTCGCCAAGCTCAAACATAGCCTTACCCATGCTCCGGTACTAGTACTTCCTGATTTTGATAAAACGTTTGAAGTTGATTGTGATGCATCAGGGCTAGGCATTGGAGCAGTACTTACACAAGGTGGCAAGCCTGTAGCCTACTTCAGTGAGAAGCTAAGCGGAGCAACACTCAATTACCCCACGTATGACAAGGAGCTATACGCCTTGGTGAGATCACTAGAAACATGGCAGCATTACTTGCTTTCCAAGGAGTTCGTTATACACTCGGACCATGAGACACTCAAGCACCTTAGAGGCCAAACAACATTGAAGAGAAGGCACGCAAGGTGGCTAGAGTTCATAGAGACGTTCCCCTACATCATCAAATACAAGAAGGGGAAGGAAAACATTGTAGCGGATGCCCTCTCTAGACGTTACACCCTCATCACTACTATGGAGGCTCGAGTCATGGGATTTGAGCACATCAAAGAGCACTATGAAGAGGACCCGGACTTTGGGATAATCTTTCAAGAGTGCAACAAAGCCCCATCAGGTCCATTCTATATACACAATGGATTTATTTTTCGAGATAAACGTTTGTGTATACCGCAGGGATCCATGAGAGAACTACTGATCAGAGAATCACACGGAGGAGGGCTTATGGGACACTTTGGCGTGGATAAGACTCTAAGCGTGGTGGTGGAACACTTCTTTTGGCCACACCTCAAGAGAGACGTTGAGCGTTTCTGCTCTAAGTGCATTACATGCCTCCGAACCAAATCAAGGTCCCATCCTTACGGTTTATATATGCCTTTGCCTATACCTAACCTTCCTTGGGAAGACCTCTCTATGGATTTTGTGTTAGGATTGCCCAAAATGAGAGGCAAGGATTCAATATTCGTGGTGGTGGATCGCTTCTCAAAAATGGCTCATTTCATACCATGTAACAAGACCAATGATGCAACGCAAACCGCTGATCTTTTCTTCAAGGAGGTAGTAAGGTTGCATGGCATACCGAGGAGCATTGTGTCGGATAGGGACAAAAAGTTCTTGAGCCACTTCTGGAGGACACTTTGGAAGAAGCTAGGCACACAGCTATTGTTCTCTACAACGTGCCATCCCCAAACTGACGGTCAAACCGAGGTGGTAAACCGCACCCTATCAGCTCTTCTAAGAGCCACGGTTGGTAAGAACTTAAGGAGTTGGTTAGATTGCATTCCATATGTTGAATTTGCTTATAACCGAGCCACCCACTCTGCTACTAAACTTTCACCGTTTGAGATTGTTTATGGATTTAAGCCAACTACACCATTAGATCTTGCACCATTACCGCCAGCAGAACGAGCAAGCCAAGATGCACTGAGCAAAGCCGAGTTGATCAAGAAGCTTCACCAAAAAGCTAAGGAGAACTTGGAGAAGAAGGCATTGCAAACAAAGCTGAACGTTGACAAGAAGAGGAACGAAGTCATATTTGAACCCGGTGAATGGGTTTGGCTACACATGAGACCGGAGAGGTTCCCAAACCATAGGAAGAGCAAGCTTTCACCACGAGGAGATGGACCCTTCAAAGTTCTTGAACGCATCAACAACAACGCCTACCGCCTAGAGCTTCCAGGTGAGATGAACATCTCTTCTAGTTTCAATGTCACTGATTTAGCCCCCTTTGATGCAGATGAAACGGTTCTGAGGTCAGAACCTCTTCAAGAGGGAGGGAATGATGAGGACCTCACCACGGACGAACCTCGGGTACCCATCATGTACGAACCACCAAGGACCCGCTCAGGTACAAGGACCATGAGGGAGGAGTTCAACAAAGCTGTAGAGAGCCTTCTCAACCTCAAGAGGACGGAGGACATCAGTCACCTGCTCAAACAGCTCATTATCAACAAAATGGACGAGGACATGACCGTGCGGGACGAGAGCATTACGGACCCCCGTACCATGGTCGAGAGCATTACGTACCACCCCCGTACCGCGGTCGAGAGCATTACAGGAAGTCTTACCGAAGGACCAAACAAGCAAGTGGGCCAAGACTTGGGATCATTCCACGACGTTCAAAGCCCAGCCACGTTCAAGGCCAGCTCCAGCTTAGACGAATGGCCACTACTACGAGACAGCCCCGGCCCAACCCTTCTCATCATCGCCCCACACTAAAACGACCAAGCTTAAGACAAACGTGGAAGCAAAGACTTACCATATTGGGCATGAATCAATAAAGAGGCAACGGTAAGAATTTGTCATTGATTCCATAATATTTTGTGTTTTCCTTTTGTCTTGCAGGACTTTAATTCTAGTTTCTTTTATATTTTCTAGTATGAACTTTTGTAATCTTTTTTTTATGCACTTTTGTATTTTTGGTCCTTGCACTTTGTTTATTTTTGACCCTAGAAGGTCAAGGCTGAAGGACTATTAATAAAGTCCCATATGCAGCATTGTAGTTCACCTCTTTACCTATTATCAATAAAGAACACACTTTCTTATCAAAGAGAGCCGCCGCCGAGTTCTAGAGCATTGTGTGGTTTCCCCCTTGTTCTTGAGTTCAAACTGACTTTATCACGGTCCAATCATCAACCGTGTGTGTGTCACTCGATCCATCCACTGTCCCATTCATTTGGTTAAGTAAAGAGAGCCGTTTGGCCAGTTGCTTGATCACCATCCCACCTTAACACTCGTCACATACCGAATCTAAGTAGAGAGTGCCGTGTGACCAGCTACTTGATTCCCCTTTGTACCGGTCATATAAGGTCATATCTTTGATCTTATATCAATCCCAATCTGAAGACGGTACAATGTCAATGAGCAAGGTCTTCACAGAGTTGAGTTCCCGTTGAGTTATTAATCAATATGTTGTTTTATAGTCGATATGTTGTTTTTAAGGTAGTACAAAGTATTCTAAATTTTATTGAATGGGAGAAGAGAATAGTAAAAAGTATAAATAGACACAATCCTAAGTTCCAGAAAACTCTACAGAGAACAGTCTTGAATCAGAAGAATCACTTAATAAAGTATTCCTGTTGTGATGTTAATTGGATCTCTTGGTTTTGGTAACCACGATTGTGCTTCCTTCCAGTTCTAGGCATATGAATAGCCTTAGATACAGTTTCGTTCACCGTGAAGGCTCATGTGGTTAAAAGAAACGCAGAAGAGTATGGGAAATTAGGTGACGTGGCGTTGAAGTTTTTGTGTGAAAACTTCGGTTTAATTTCAGTATGATGATTTCGGTTCGTCAAGAGAGACGTAGAAGAGTATGAAAGATATAAACGGATTGGTATTGGAATTTTTCACACATACAAATCTGAACCGATTAATCCGATTTTGAAAATACACAAGATAAAATCTAATGAATTAAGAAAAGTATTTACCTAAAATAAAAAAAATCTAATCGAACCGAAACTGAAATAACTCGGTGACAAAATTTAACCAAACTGGATCTAATTCTCCCAATACTGTATATCCAACCTCCAACAAGTTCACAGGAACTTTCTTGCCTCTTACGCTATCCACCACTAAAGTTTATTTATTGAATGCAGATAATGTGTCCTCTGTGCTCGGAAGCTTTTGTAACTTGAAACACTCAACAGGCGGATAAAATGGAAGCTTCACCGAGGATACAACACAGTAACCGAAACCTCGTTCACTGAAAACGCAGAATCTTTGTCTTTAGACTTATTCAAGGATCTATTTGCAGGTTTCACCGAGAGAGGGAGAGTGACGAAAGCTGCTTCTGTAGGTTTAGGTATTGTCAAAGTACCGTCTCTTGCAAGCCAAACTATTACAGAGTTCATAGTTGGTCTCTTTGCTGCATTCTCTTGGACACACAACAAACCAATCTGAATCAACTTTATGATCTCGTTTATCGGAGGTTCGTTTAAGTAAGGGTCGATTAAACTCTCAGGCTCTCCTTCAACCCATCTCTTCCATGCCTGAATCAAAAGAGAGTAACATTTAGTACTTTTGTTTACAAAAATTGAGAAAGATAAATAAAAGAAAAAAACAAAATTGTTATCAAGAAGCTTACAAAAGCTGGAAGTCCTTCTGCTTCGAAGTTCTTGTTTCTTTCGCCACTTATCATCTCCAAAAGCATAACACCGAAGCTGTAAACATCAGATTTAGCTGAGAATTGTCCATGTCTCACATACTCCGGAGCCATATATCCGCTGCAAGAACCAGTGTCACAGTTATGGTTACGCATTTCAAAGAATATTTAAAAGCCAAATAAAAAAGATATATATCAGTGTTTTAAAATGCGGTCACTACAACATCCATGTCTAAAACTAAACCAGAGCAGCCAAGTCTAAAACTGAGCATTTCCAAGTCTAGAATAGAGCATTTATGTCTGAAACTGAGCATTTCCAAGTCTAGAAACAGAGCATTTATGTCTGAAACAGAGCATACTTACTAGGTTCCAACTACTCTGCTTGTCTCTCCTCTAGTCTCATCCATGTTGAACAACCTCGCCATCCCAAAGTCTGCAACTTTAGGGTTCATCTCACCGTCTAAGAGAATGTTACTCGCCTTCAAGTCTCGATGAATAATCCTAAGTTGAGAATCTTCATGTAAATAAAGAAGTCCTCTTGCAACTCCTTCTATGATTCTGTACCTCACATCCCATGTAAGAAGCCAACGTTTGTCTTTATCTACAAATTTTCAAAGAGAAGTTTTCCTCTTTAGTCTGAATCTGACAAAAAGTATTATAACGAAAAGAAAAAAATTACATCAGTCTTGTGAAGGCTTACCGAAGATAAAATTATCAAGACTTGAATTAGGGACATGCTCGTAAACAAGAATCTCTTCACCTCCTTCATTACAGAACCCAAGAAGCTTAACAAGATTACTATGCTGGAGTCTTGTCAAGAGTAAGACCTCATTTTTAAATTCTAAATCTCCTTGTCCTGAACCTCCAGCTAATCTCTTTACCGCTATCTCTTGTCCGCTCGGTAAAACCCCCTGAAACCGGTATAAGATCATTCGCCCACATGATAAAATTTCAGATAAGATATTTACAAGTTTTTAATGAAAGTTCTTGCCTTATAGACAGATCCAAATCCACCTTGTCCAAGTTTATTTTCCGGTGAGAACTCATCGGTTGCGATTAAAATCATGCCAAGATCAAATCTTAACATAGATTGACCATCAGAACCAGAATTTTCTGCACATATATAAAATATTTGTTCCTTCAAAACAAAACTCCAAAACTTTTTCAAAAATTTTCTCAAAAAACCCTAAAACTACACTCACTGTTGATATCAGCATAAATCCTCCGCCGCATCTGGCGATAAGCAAGCACGAAAGCAACAAACACGAAAATATTTATGATTGTAGGAACGACGATAACCACAATGCTCCATGGTTGAAAAATTCTTCCTGAAAGAACCTCTCAAAACAGTCAAGTTCTATGCATTGTGAAGTCATATCAACATTTCAGCAAAAAAAGATTATCTATTTTTAGCACCTTTCTTGATATGGGAATCCTCTGGAGCAGGTTGAGGAGGTCGAGGAGGCGCGGATATTTTCTCTAGATTATTGAATGCTTCTAAAAAAGGGTATAAATCCCACCGGAAATAGCAACTAGGGCGCGCAATAGTGCTCCCGATTCTTTCCCAGTAATCTTCTTGATTATACCTAACATTCTCTCTCAGACAATGATTACATTCACTGGAAGATAAATCGGGTGTGCACTGCATCAGCATATAAGCCTCAGGAAAATCAGTAAACTCGGCACTTGAGATTCCGTAGAACTTCAATGCTGAAGAATCATCAGCCGTGGATGCAACCTCGATTGTTCGATTAGCCATCGCACTAAACTCTTCGGTGAAACGGGTCAGATTCGTAGAGGGAAGACTTGTGTGAGGAGTATTCTCGAGTGGGTCAAGCTTTAGTTTGCCAAATGTTGGGAGAGTTGAGTAACGTACTAGACAAGAAACGTCTGTATCGGCTTCGGAATCCCAGTGATATGCTTCTGTTTTGCCTTGGCACAGTGTTAACATACTCATACTTGTTCTATCGACGCAACGACGACAAGCTTGATCCGCGTAGTGTTTACCGCAAAGGGCAAGAGCGTAAACTCCGCCCAGAGAAGCGTTATAGAAACCGCGTTGTGCGATAACGTTTGAGTCAAGAGAACGCAAGAGAGTGTTTAGGCTTTCATCATACGTTGTGTTTGGAGAAAAGGTTTCGTTGCCGCAGAAGAGTTTAGTGTGAACGCCATTGATGGTTAAGAGAAGGAAGAGAAGAAAACAAGGGGGGTGAGAGAGAATAGATTTTGCCATCTATACAAACAATTGTCGTCTGATTATTTAAAACTTTGTTTTTTTTTTGCTTTAAATAAAGAGAGTTGATTTGTAAAGTTCTGTGAAAATCAAACAAGAATAGAGAAGGGAATTGACTTTTCTACTGTCATGTCATTTTCATCAGTGAACAAACCTTTTCTGAAACCCTGACTTTTGTATAGTGACGTAAGGAGAAAGGAAGAGACTTTTCTCTATCATAACGTAATCGACACGTCGAAACACTCTATTGCCTTAATGCCTTGAGTGGCATGCAATGTCTTTGGCACTTCAATATTATTTTTATTATTTTTAGTTTTTTGAATTTTTTCGTTATATTATTCATTTTTAATATTTTTTTGAACAATCCAATGATAATCTTAATAATTAATTATTAATATTTGATAGTTTTTTTTTATGTTAATTTTTTTGTTCATATTCTGCCACACAAAAAAAATCTTATTTTAGATTTTTAACTAAAACATTAGACATTTTGCATAATTTTTTAATTCAATTATATTACTAAAAACTCGTCATTAGATTCCATCTACATTAGAATTGGTCTTAAGAGACTCATCAAGAAACCCTTGATGAGTTGATGGAGGTGAAACTGACGTTAAAACCAAAAAAAAAAAATCATAGTAAAGCCGACGTCGTTTCCGATTCCAGACAACATAGAAAACGACAAATGAAAGAGCCTACGTGATTCATCTACAGTCAAATGGTCACAAAGACCATAAATCAAATGGTTTCGAATGGTTTCGATAATTGTTTAAATACTTCATAGCAATTGCGTGTAAGAATGGAAGTCTACGGTGATGCAAACGCAGACAAATTGAATAATAAATGGTAACAAAAGCAAATATCTAAATGAGGGTTTTTTTTGTTCAAACAAAATATTTTAAATGGTTTGAAAGGTTATCCTCGATATTTTTTATAAGAAAATTGAAAAATAAGATAGATTTTTTGGTCTTTCTTTCTGTTTTAATTTAATTAGATTTTTGTTTTAATTAATTGATGTATTCGTAAAATAACCTTTTTGTGATAATTTTTTTTACTAAAACATCAGTTAATTAAAAATAAAATAATTTATCTATAAAAATCTTAAACATTTTTAAACGAAACACAAATATATAGTTGTCCTTACAATGGATGCTCAAGACTTCAACATTGGAAATTACAACATTGTTTCCGGTATTTTTAATATAACGTTGTTGGATCTGCTAAAACAAAACTGAATTCAGGTACCCTTCATGGACCACACGAGCATGAAAATAAAATCAAAAGAGTAGTAGTGTTTTCAAAATTATATTAAAAACAATGTCATATAGCAAACGCGCGGGAGCCTACGAAATATAGTAAAAAAAACAAATTTGATGATTCTAATTTTCTAAAATTATAATTTATAAATCTATACTATTAAAAGAGGATCATTTTTTAAAACTAACCTTTGTCTATTGTGTTATTTACAGCAATTACCATTAATGAATTAATATAAGCATTATGTACAAACTATATAAATGGTACTAAATGTTCATGTCTTAATAAATATTCAAAAGTTATCATGGTATTTACAATATATTCCATTATATTTACTAGATAATTTTATTAATTCATTAAGAGAAATTTAGTCATATCATTAAACTACTAAAAATATATTAAATTAAATTAAAATAAATTATATTAGTTTGTTAACATGATTATACCAATATATTCTATCTAATATTAATAAAATTCAAATTCATTTAATTTCAAAATTATTTCAAAATTTTTCATAATATCTTAACATAATTACCATATATATATGACATAAATAACTAATATAATTATATATATTATATTATAATTAATTTATTCTCTATTCAATTAAAACAAAAGCACTACTTTTAAATATCTAAAAGCTAATATGGTATTTACTAAATGTGATAATTTATAGTCAATAATGAATATGTAATCATTATTTTTTGGTTACATATATATATACTATGAAAAAATATTATGTAAATAATTTGTTTTTTTCTGGTTTGTTAATGATTTTTTGCCGAAAATCATGGGTTTGCAGATTTGACAAACACAAATTTGTAGATTTTACGGGTTTTACAAGTTTTAGCAGATTTTATAAGTTTTAGCGGAAAATATTCTTTTACAAAAAAATGCCGGTTTGACAAGAAATATGCTTTTATAGATTTAGCAGAAACACATAATTTTAGAGATTTGGTAATTTTGCAGATTTTCTGGGTTTACGGGAAAACACGGGTTTGCGGAATACAAATAACGCATTTTGCGGATTTTTTTAGGTTTTACAGGTTTTAGCGGGAAAATGTAGTCATACGAGAAACGCGGGTTTGTGGGTTTGGAAACTCGATTTTGCAGATTTGGCAGAAACACATGAGTTTAGAAACTTGGTCGTAAAATAAGATTTTACGAATTTTACAATTTTATGGGAAAATATGGGTTTGTGGATTTGGCCGAAAATGTGATTTTGCAGATTTTACGAGGTTTACATGTTTTGATGAGTTTTATAGGTTTTGATGGGAAAATGTGGTTTTATGGATTTTATTGAAAATGCAGGTTTACGGGTTTGATGAGAAACACAATTTTACAGGTTTGACAAAAACAAGTAATTTTAAAAATTTGGCCATATAATACAGTTTTTTGGTGTTGGAAAAAACATAATTTTTTATTTTGTTAAAAAATATGGGTTTACAGTTTGGAAGAAAAATATGGTTTGATGAAAAATGCTATTTTAACATTTTCTATGGGAATTCTCGATTTTGGTACAACAATATGATTTTAGTAATTTTTGATTTTGTTAAAAAATGTGGGTTTAAAGTTTTGGCAGGAAAATGCTGTTAGATGGAAAATGCTATTTTCACAGTTTTTCCGGGAATTCCCGATTTTGGTACAACAACTTGATTTTAGTATTTTGCGGGAAAATACGATTTTTTATTTCGATTAAAAACTCTGATTTTATGGTTTTGACAAAGAAAAAACTTGATTTTATATTTTAAATTAAAAGATGTTTTGCTCTTTTAATTTTTTAGATTTAAATGATGCATCCAAACTCTATTGTTTAGCATTTTAAATATTCAAATTTTGAAATATTATCCAGATATTGAAAATTATAATATTTGAGCATTTACATTCAAATAAGTATCTAGATGCAAAAAAAAACAAAGCCTCAGTAAATATTAAAATCTTAATTACAAATAAATAAAATATTTCTTGTATTATAAAACATAAAATTTTGAAATATTTGTTACAAAAATTAACAGAAAATCTGCTAATCAAAATATTTTTTTATAAAATCAAGTCTAAATAATTTTAAAAACATAAAACTATAATATAAAATTAATTTATATAATCTAATAAAAAAATTTTGTTTGAGCCATAATTTTGGATTTAATAATATAAACTGATTGTTTTAAACAAAAGTTTAATATAAACCGATTTTAAGTGTGGCCTAAAAATATTTTATAAAAAGAAATCCGCGCAAATGCACGGGTCCAAAATCTAGTCGTTGCTTTAAAACAAGATCAACAACCTTAATTAATAGAATCTATAAAAAAAAATGTTGTATGAGTTTTCGTTTAGTTCGCTGGATTTGAAATAAAGTTGAAAATGTTCAAAAAAACATGCATAGTTAAAAAAATAATATATGGGGAGTTTGAAATTTGTGAACCAAGCATTAATATCTTCAAATTATTAGAAAGATAGCAAAAGAAATGTAGAGTGAATGTTTGGATATAATTCATTTTAAAATATTCATAATCAAGTCTAGTAATAATTTTCAACAAAATAAGTGGTATAGTTGGCTAGATAGTGGTTTTCATCTGAGCAAGAATTACTATGTTGGTTTAGAATCAATTTTTCTCAGTTGTGAAATGATCTTAGTATCTTACCACTATCATTTGGTGATTAATTCTCTCAATTTTTTTATTAACCAAAATCTTTAATTTTTAAATTAAAACCTGCTATAACTTTGTCGCATGTGTTTTATATAATAAAAGAGCATAGCTTGATAATCATTTTTACATATTTTATCATTTGAAAATGTACCTATTTAACGATAAAAAAATTGAAAAATACAATATACAAAAATATTTCCTTTATTTTCAACTCGATTTTGAAACCTCTAAGATCTCCTAAAACTTTTTCGCAAGCTATACATGACAATACATATGAAACTAGACTGATTATCAAAATATCAGCATTATACACATGAAAATTCGAAAAAGAAAAATTACATCAACAAACCCATCAATAGGCTCATTATCAGTTGAAATTCGTCCCGCCCCACCGGATGAGTATGACGTTGGAGTCATCATCGGGATCGATCTTAATGCACACACTCGGGTTTGAAGTATAAGAAACATCGTACATCGTAGATCGTATACCGTACACCAAATACTACTGAAATTTATTTGCGCTTTTAAATTAAATTGAACTAGTTAACACATAAAATTAGCGAATTGTTTTGTTGTCGTTTTGTTTTTTTTTTTCTAGAACTTTGAAGCTGCTACGAAAGAGAGATTTTTGTTTTGCAAATTTTCCATCTTTGAAAATCAACGAATACACATTTTCTCAGTCTTTGGAAGTCAACCAATAAGCACCACGGAATAAACATATAGCTCATAACCAATATAAATATAGCAAAGCTCAGAAATCGATAACATATCAAAAACAACGAAATAGACAAATAGTAACGAGAAGAAAAAAAAAGTTTTTATGGGGAAGTGCCCTTCTTTGATAATCTGTTTGGCTTCTTCTCTTTTTCTTGTCATTCAAGACCTCGAAGTCGTTAACGCCGTCGGGTGTGCCGGAAGCTTCTTAAACGCTAACAGCAGCTACGTTCAGAACCGCGACAATCTCTTCTCTACTCTTCCTGATAAAGTCGTCGCCAATGGTGGATTCTACAACGTTTCACTCGGCAAAAGTCCCAATAGAGCTCACGTTATTGTTCTCTGCGCAAGAGGCTACAAGCAACAAGCTTGTATCGGTTGTGTCGAAAGCGCGTCTCGGGGTATACAAACGAACTGTCTAAGCCGCATGGATTCGTTCACGTGGGACAAAGACGAGGAAGACCATATTTCTTGTCTTGTACGCTCCTCAAACCACTCAACCTTCGGGGAGCTCGAGCTTAGACCTGCTATTATATACCCCAGTCCACTTAGCATCGACCCGTCCAAAAACATGACCCTCTTCGAACAACAGTGGGACGCAATGGTTAACAAGACCGTGGAGGCTGCCACGGAAACCGAAACTTCGTCTGTACTCAAGTACTATGCTGCCGAAAGAGCCGAGTTCACGGAGTATTCAAATGTTTACATGCTGATGCAGTGCACACCCGACATTACTTCCCAAGATTGCAAGAGATGTTTGGGAGATTGCGTGACGTTGTTTAAGAACCAGTTTTGGAAAAGACAAGGAGGAGAAGCTAATCGTCCGAGCTGTTTTTTCAGGTGGGATCTATATCCTTTCCATGGTGCTTTTGATAATGTAACAAGAGTTCCTGCGCCTCCTCGGCCTCCTCAGGAAAATGGGAGCTCTATAACAAACAAGAAAGGTAAAACAAATGAGTTAGAGCATTACCACAATTTGTAAGTATGAATGTGTGATAAAGGGTTGATCATTTGCAGGAAGAAGCATTGGGTATAGGGGAATTATCGCCATAATTGTGGTTCTTACTTTCATTAATCTTTTCGTGTTTATTGGTTTCTACAAAGTCAATGCTCGGAGGAGAAGATTAAAGAATAGATTCAGTGGTAAAATATGTACCTTCCTTTCTTTTTTTTTTTTTTGCGTAAATGATGTAGAGAGTAAGACATAATTTCTTCTTCTTCATTTTTTTCTATCTGTTTTGTTATAGTTGGTAGTGAAGAGTACTCTGATTCTGATGATAGTCAATATATGTTGAGGTTTGATCTTGGATCGATCTTAATGGCAACCAATGACTTCTCGTCTGAAAATAAGCTTGGCCAAGGTGGATTTGGTACAGTGTATAAGGTAGTACGAACAAATTTTTCGTAATAATGAAATATTTATTGGTCTTGGTCTTGGATGAGTAACAGATCTTGAGAACCGGTTTCAGGGGATATTACTTAACGGGAAAGAAATAGCGGTGAAGAGATTAACAAGAGGTTCAACAGAAGGAGGTAGTGAGTTTAAGAATGAGGTTACACTCTTGACAAGACTGCAACACAAGAATCTGGTTAAGCTTCTTGGGTTCTGTAATGAAGGAGATGAAGAGATTCTTGTCTACGAGTTTGTCCCTAACTCAAGTCTTGATCACTTTATCTTCGGTGAGACTTCGAAAGACAGCTACATTTTCGTTAGTCTTAGAAATTCTTAGCAATAAAATGTTTCTTTTGAATTCTGCAGATGAAGTGAAGCGTTCGCTTCTCACTTGGGAGGTGAGGTTCAAAATTATTGAAGGCGTTGCTCGAGGTCTTGTTTATCTCCATGAAGACTCTCAGCTGAAGATAATTCACCGAGACTTGAAGGCGAGCAACATCCTTTTAGATGCAGAGATGAACCCTAAAGTTGCAGACTTTGGGACCGCGAGGTTGTTCGACACTGATGAGACTCGTGCTGAAACAAAAAGAATAGCTGGAACCCGGTAAGAACATTTTAATCAGCTCTGAAAAGTCAAAACACGTACATATGCTCACCCTCAACTATCGTTATATGCAGTGGATATATGGCTCCTGAATACCTGACACGCGGGCAAATCTCAGCTAAATCTGATGTTTATAGCTTCGGTGTTCTGCTTCTAGAGATGATAAGTGGTGAAAAAAACAATAGTTTCGAAGCAGAAGGGCTTGCAGCTTTCGTAAGTTTCTTCACATATCAGTCTTCTTGATCCTTCCTTTTGTATCTTTTTGGTCCTTCCTTTCCTCGCATATCAGTCTGTTTTTGTTTTGTTTTTGTTCAGGCATGGAAGAGATGGGTTGAAGGAAGGCCTGCTAATATAATTGATCGTTTCTTGGTAGAGACTCCGAGTGACGAGATCATTAAGTTGATCCAGATTGGTTTGTTGTGTGTTCAAGAGAATGCAACAAAGAGACCAACCATGAGCTCTGTAACAGTTTGGCTCAGCAGTGAGACCATCACCATTCCTTTACCTAAGGCTCCTGCTTTCACATGGACTCAATCCCAATCTGAACATGGTACAATGTCAATGAGCACGGTCTTCACTGAGTTGAGTTCTCGTTGAGTTATAAATTTGTTTCAATAAGTTGTTTTTAAGGTAGTATAGTAAATAATTTACAAATTAGTACTAGTAAACACAATCAATTAATAAACTTTTGTTGTCTGAGTTGCAATGGTTCAAAATGTAACACAAATCCATAATAGTTTTAACAGAGCTTTTATTTAAAAATGTAATGTTTCTTCTTGTTAAAGAATATGTAATGTTTTATCAATAACATAAATTAATATTTATTATATAAACTTTTGTTCAATAATATAGCTAAAAGCATCTACTAATTAATATAGCAATGCGCCATTGATGTATTAGAGAAGGAAGAAGAATATAGCTAAGATAATCGACTAACTAATTTTGAAATCTACTTCTTCCTCATCCTACAAAATTGTCATTTTCATCGCTGGAGAGCAAGGTAGTGTGAACGCCATTGATGGATGAGAGAAGGAAGAAGAGAAGATAAGAATCATAAGATAACAAGGGAAGATGAAGGAGAACGGATTTTTCCATCTATATAAACAATGAACGTCTGATTATTAAAACTTTATTTTGGCGATAAATGAAGAGATTTTGATTTGTAAAGTTTCTTTGACAATCAAACAAGAATAGAGAACCTGTTAAAAAAAACAAATAAGAATAGAGAAAAGAAGATGCTTTTCTATTACCATGTCGTTTTATCAGAGACCCAAAAACCTTTTTAGAAATTCTCACTTTTTAGGGTACCGTCAGGAGCAAGGAAAAGACTTTTTCTTCCCTTAATTTCGCTTACGTAAACGACAAGGCAAACACTTCGTTGTCCTTACCTTAATTGGCATGCAACGTCTTCGAGACCGTCGTTTCTGCTTCCAAACAAAATGAACAAGAGATATGAATGGAGAGTCAAGGCCAACGGGTTTGATTATCCTTTTATATATTGTCAAAGAACTAATTATCGTATCAATAATTTAAAGACGACATCAATTTTAGGAAAATGGATCAAAGGAAAAAGACTTTGGTCCAACAACCAGTTTTTGGCAATAAACATCATTAAGGACATAGATCAAAGGATACTAATTTTGTCTCAGGAAATATATCTTAAACAAGTTTCAATTCTTTTTGGTTTGAGTGAGTCCAAACCAGTACAAATTCATGATGGTTTTAATTTCAAACTTAAGAGCCTAGCTTCTAAAGAACAACTAGTTACGTATATACATGGAGGGTACGTACTTAATATGCAGTGCAGTAAGAGCCGTGCGTACGTTAGGTAAAATTAAACATTCGGTCAGGGAAGTAATATATTTTTTTTTTGTTATAGGGCAGCAATTTTAGTATTTTTTATATAATAACCCTTATTAATTATATTAAGTTAATCTCAAATAATAAATATTTTAATACATATGGGCATGATGGCACTTTATTAAAATAATAAATATGTTAATATAAGTGATCGGTTTGTGCTGTGTGCAAGTTATAAAATATTTTATATATTAAAATTATGATAAATATAATATTGAAGATACTTAATTTGCATATGATTAATTATGTATTAATAATAAAATTATAAGCATTTAATAATAAAAATAACGATAAATCAAATATAAATTATTATAGATTTCAATATAAAATGAAGATAACAAAATATTAACTAAGATTTTAAAATATTGTTTTAGATATAAAATATAAATACGATAACTAAAATATGGCTTTTATACATAAATTAATATTTATATCTACACACATCTTTCTAAAAAATTGAAGTATGGCTTTTATGTGTTAAAAGAAAATAACAAATTATATGTTTTGTAATATATATATTTATAATGTATGGTTGATTTTAAAAAAATAATAATAAAAAGTATATTTATGTATGTATGTATGAGTTAGAAATAAATGAATTGTAATATTTAGGTTTTGGTAAGTTTTTCTGATATTTTCCACAAACGTTATATTTTTACATGATGCAGTTATTGGCGTTTAACAACAATCACGAAAACCGTTTATATCGTTTTGTATTTAATCAAAATTTCTTATTTTTCAGCGTTTTATGATATATGGTTTATCAATAAAAATTTATTATAAATTTTGTGAAATCATATTTTATAAAATTCTCTGGTAGCTCTCGGCTCATCTCTTCGTCAAATTTTTATAATCCGCAATCGTTCGCTTCCACAAACTCTCTATAACAGAATTGTTTAAATCAATCGGATCTAAAGTTATATATGTATGATTTAAAGTATAAAATAATATATTTAATATTTTATTATTATATTAAAAAGTAACAGCTGTTATGTTTCTAACTTTAATATATTTGTTAATATAATATTTAATGGATCATAATATACACAAAATTTGATTCATGAAATAATATTGTATATGTTGGAAAAATATATGCATGAAAAATTTAATATGTGTAAGATAATATTTTAAAATATTTTAAATAAAAACATAAAATCGATCAAAATTATTCTTATTTATTTTTTTGTCTTCTTTGACTTCTTTTTTCCTTAATCTTTAATAATATATTAAACATTAAGATCATCTGTAATGTATTTTTCAATTTTTTCATCTAAAATATAGTGGACTTCTCTCCAAACTATTTCTATTTTACAGGAAAAAGAAAGATTGTTATTTTTTCCTCTATAATTGGAGGAAAAATTAGCAACCTTTCTTTTTCTTCTAAATTATAATATTTAAAACAAAGGTGGTTTGGAGATGCTTTAAACCAAAAATATAGCATGAGATTTTTATATAAAATCAAATTCGTAAAGATTCATTTTTACTTTTACTTCTACTTATTATTCATATATACAGTATTATAATAAAATATTAGCTAAGAGGATACTTAGACTGCTTACAATGAGTATGTTGAATAATTTATTCAACAATTGAATGTATGCAATGGGGTGTTGAAACATGTGTTGAAATCTATGTGGAGAAATCAGTGTTGAATTAATTCAACATGTTGAATTCGGTTGAAAAGTAAAAGTAACTGCCACATGTCTTAATTTGATTGAACCGAAAAATATATTAGATATTTATATAGAGATAATAATATGAGCTGAATTCTGATTGGTTGTTTAGATTTCTGGTTTTCTTTTTTCATCTCAATGATTCAATATCAATTATTTTATAACGAATTAAATATATAAATATTTTTTATATACCAAAATTCATCATTTTTATGTTCTATAAATAGATACTTGGTTCATTTGATTTGGACACACAAAAAAATTCTCTTTTCTAAGCTTTACATATTCTTTTATAAACACTTATTTTTAGTTTTAAAATTTCTTTTTTCTCAAAATGAATCCCAATAATAATCCTTCTAATACCCAAAATTCTATGAATTATCCACTTAACTATCCAAATTCCCACAATGATCAAATTCAAAATCAATCTTTCATCCAATCTCAAATTATACCAAATTATGGTTTTCCACCAAATTTCTTCATACCATTAGCTCGTCCAAACTATCATTCATATTATGGATCAATGATGTCATATTCATCTCAAACACCCTCTTATTCTTCTACTCCAACGGGTAATGAAACTGTTCCAAATACTGGAGCAAATGAATTTCCCGAATTTTCTACACAAGTGACCCTTGGTGGTATGAGCGGTGTTAATGAAGCCACTCCAAATGAAGATGATTCAACTCTTGCTCGCCGGAAAAGCCCTAAATGGACTACTGAGCAAAATTTGGTGCTACTGAGTTGTTGGATTAAATATGGGACATACAACATTATCGGCATAAACCGAAAAGGTGATTCTTATTAGGGTAAAATTGCTGAATATTGTAATGATCATTGCTCTTTTGATCGTCCGCGTGATGGAATTTCGTGCAGAAATCATTACAACTATATGAACAAAATATTGGGGAAATGGGTTGGCGCGTACGATAATGCTAAGCGTATGCAACAAAGCGGGTGGTCGGAGAATGATGTATTAGCGAAAGCACAAGAACTGTATTCAACTGTTAGTAAAGGAAATTTCAATTTGATGAAGGAATGGGTTGCTGTTCGCGATCAACCACGTTATAGTAGTCAGGTCGGACGAAATACTGGCTATGCAAGCAGTGGATCTAAGAGATCTCGTGAGAATGATGCAAGTGACTCTAACTCCGTAGGATCAAGTGCTCGTCCAATGGGAAGAGATGCAGCTAAAAAAAAGGTAAGAAAAAAGGCAAGGCCGCAGCTTTGGAAGTAGTCACCAAAGAGTGGAGTGAATTTAAACAATTAAAGGTGCAAGAGTTGGAACGATTGAAGGAAATAACCAAGAGCCAAGAGGAGGCAAACCAATTGATGAAAGAAAAGAATCAAGCTAAGAAGATGAAGATGTTTTTAAAGCTAAGTGAAAAGGAAAATCTTGATGACCGGCGGAAAGAACTGTTGGAGAAGTTGAGCCACAATCTATTTGGAAACTAATCTTGGGATTGTTTGTATTTTGTTAATTTTCTCTTTCTATAATTATGTTTTTGTCAATTTCTCGTTTAAAAATGTTTTGTTTTTTTCAATTCCTACTTTAATAATGCTTATTTATCATGTTCTTTTTAAAAGCTTTTCAAATGTTTGTTTGTATTTTTCCCTTTGTCTGCTTCAATAATGTTTCTTTGTCAGTTATCAATGTCTATTTGTATTCTTCTCATTGTCTACTTCAATAATGCAATATGTGACCTTATCTATCAACTAGTTCAGTGTAATCTTTGTTTGGAGTCCATAGATTTCAACCATTCATTTTTTATAAACAGAGACTCATTCTTCGAGTTATAAACCAATAACACAAATTTCATCTTACTAAAAAAATATCAATGGTTCAATCCAAATTTTCTTTTGATATTGAAGCTTACAAAAAACCGTCCGAGATTGAAGAAAGATATATCGTGAACCGCTTTGTGCAGCGTAAAAAAAAAATAGAGGAAGAGTATGTACCTCGTAGCAAGAGAAAATATTTCAAGAGGGATCATGTAGCAGCAAACCAAAGGCTGATTGACGACTACTTCACAAATCAACCTGCATATGACGATTCAATATTTCGTCGGCGATTCCGGATGAGAAAACATGTTTTCCTTCGGATCGTTGTGGACCTTTCAAGCAGTGACAGGTACTTCACCCAACAAGTTGACGCAGCCAATAAAGAAGGCATATCTCCATTAGCAAAGTGTACCACGGCCATCCGAATGTTAGCATATGGTGTGGCGGCTGATGCAGTCGATGAATACATCAAAATAGGAGGTACTACGGCATTAGAGTGCTTGCGTAGATTTTGTAAAGGATCCATACGATTGTATGAGCAAGTGTATCTCAGAGCTCCAACACAAGATGACCGCAAAGAATCTGCACGTTAGTAGGAAGTATTGATTGTATGCACTGGGAATGGAAAAATTATCCTACAGCATGGGAAGGTCAATTTAGTCGGGGAGATAAGGGAACTACCACAGTTATTCTTGAAGCTGTTGCATCTCATGATCTTTGGATCTGGCATGCCTTTTTTGGATGCCCGGACACATTGAATGATATAAACGTTCTAGACCGCTCCCCAATGTTTGATGATGTTGAACAAGGAAATACGCCAAGAGTGAACTTCTTTGTCAGCCAACGTCCGTATAATATGGCATACTATCTAGCTGACGGTATCTACCCTTCTTATCCAACTTTTGTCAAATCAATTAAACTTCCTCAAAGTGAACCAGATAAGTTATTTGCAAAGTATCAAGAGGGATGTCAGAAGGACATCGAACGTGCATTTGGAGTGTTGCAGGCTCGATTTAAAATCATTCGCGAACCAGCTCGCATGTGGGATATAGCCGATTTGGCTATCATCATGAGGTCAAGTATCATATTGCATAATATGATTGTTGAGGATGAATGCGATACATATGTTCAACATTGGAATGATTATGATCAAACTGAGGCTAGTGGGTCTAGTACACCGTAACCATTTTCAACTGAAGTGCTACCTGCACTTGCAATGTGTGTTTTTATAGTCTTTTAGTCTTTTTATCGAGTCTTTTCAGGTTTTAGATCGTTTGGGAGAAAAATAACCATTTTGGGTGTAAACGAACATATGTGGATGCAGAACTATACAGGAACGTTTGAAGTTTGACATTCGTTGAAGTACTTCCCAACAATGGATCAAGCTGAAATTTGGACACAAGCTACATCTTTGTGTTAGATTTCATTTGGAAGTGGTTTGAAGTCAATCCAACGGTGCGATCAAAATTTATGCCAGTTTTCGTGAAAGCAGTCTAGTCTGGCGTGCGCAAAAGGCCGAAGAACTTCCCGAGAGAAATTAGATCGATCGATCTAGATTTGGATCGATCGATCCGAAGTTCAAAAATTACCCGAGACATTTTAGATCGATCGATCCGAGAGGCCATGGATTTCCCGAGAGGATTTAGATCGATCGATCCAAGTCCGGATCGATCGATCTGGGGTTTTAACCAGCCGGTTTGGTCGCGCAGAAATAAGGAAACTTTGGGTTTTTCCTATTCCAACTTGGTTTTCGATAATTTCTCACCCAATTCGTTTCTAGACCTTTAAATTCTTGTTTTTCAGCTATTGTTTAGACAATCCTCTTTTTTTATATTGATACTTTTAGGTTTTGTGTTTTGTGAGCTTAGGGAGAAGAATCTCTGCATCTTTTAAAAAGATTTCTGAACCCCTTTGGATTTCTTATTTATTGATTATGAATTTCTCTTTCTCTCCTTGTTGTTTCTCTGCTTTCATGTCTGAGTAGTTTCATAGTTAGGTTTAGGGTTTTCAAAGGATTCATGAATCAATGAACTAGACATAAATAGAGTTATTCATATGCTGTCTTCACCTATTGTTATTCTCATTGCTTAGATTAATTTGATCACTTAATCTCTGATTTAGGGTTTAATCTATTCATGAAAGTGTTTTAGATTGCTTGATAAAACATAGATGAGCAAACTGTCCTTAGCCAACGAAAGCTGATGTTAAGACAATCTGTGAACAAATCGAACCTGTTCATTAATGCTTGTTTAGAATTTTAAGTTCAAACGAAAGTTTAGATACTTAGGTTTCTAGACAAAGTCTTTGATACCACAAAAGTGGATTAATTATACATTTATGTTTGAGTTCTAGATTGTTCTATAATCTGTCCTGAATAATTGTCTGGTTCTTGATCTCTGAATTCCTGCAAAATACCTAGACCTAGCGCTTTCTTTTACTGTCTTTAAACCGCTTTTATTTGCTATTTTCGTTTTACATTACATTCAACAACTCATATTCTTATCTTAGCTTAGTTTCATTCATTAAGATTTGCAGTGTGACACTTGGTCCTTATGGATTCGATCCCTACTCTACTACAACATTTGCTGTGCACTTGCAGTAGTTCTATAGGGTTAAAACTCTGTCTATCAAAAAACACCAAACTTAGTTGGTTGTGCATACATCTTTTCAGCTCCACATGCACTGAGTGCACGAATAAATTGTACACATACCTGATACAAAGTTGGAATTCGATTTCCAAAGATATTGATTATTTCCTATAGTTAGACAAAATTTACCTTAACTAAAGCGAATTTTTTTTTGTTCAGGCATGGAAGAGATGGGTTGAACGAAGGCCTGAGACTATAATTGATCGTTTTTTGGCAGAGAATCCGAGCAACGAGATCATAAAGTTGATCCAGATTGGTTTGTTGTGTGTTCAAGAGAATGCAACAAAGAGACCAACCATGAGCTCTGTAACAGTTTGGATTGGCAGTGAGACTATCACTTTTCCTTTACCTAAGGATCCTGCTTTGACATGGAGTCAATCCCAATCTGAAGACGATACAATGTCATCAATGAGCAAGGTCTTCACCGAGTTGAGTTCTGGTTAAGTTATTAATCAATATGTTGTTTTTTTATGGTAATTGTTAGATGGAAAATGAGCACATTTCCTAAAAGGCATTCCCTCGCAATAACCTAAGCCCGTCAAGATCAGGAAGACCACACCGACCTAGTTTGGATTAAAAGAAACTCTCTGGAGATAACCTTTGAAGACCGGAAACATCGGACTAACTCAAAGGATAAATGAGAATTTTTTTATTCCTCGGAGAATAAAGGATATTACCATATCATAGATATGGAAATATTCACGGAAGACAAAAGGAAAAGGAGTTCGGAGCAACCGACCTCCTATTCCTATAAATACAAAGATCCCGAAACCTGGAAGAACAACTCATACATTCTAGAGAGCAGCAGAGCTAAAATCAGAGACTCCGACACTTTTTAGTTACCTTGCAAACCTTCTTTTCACTTCGGCATAACCTCTCGGTTATCCCATTATTTGTAATCGCTTCGTTTTATTGCTAATAATAGAAAACTTTATTTTCTGAAACCCACAACTGTTAATCAAAACCCCAGTAGTGATTTTCTGGTTCAACATTAATACAAAGTATTCTAAATTGTTATGAATGGAGAGAGAGAGAATAGTAAAAAGTATAAATAGACACAGCCCTAAGTTCTATTAAAACAGAGCTCAAGACAAAGTCTCTTTATCAGCCTAAATCTACTACTCTCGACAATCAGAAAGAACTGTTGCACTTTGACAGTCTTGAATCAGAAGAATCACCTAATAAAGTTTTCCAGGGATGTTCTGTTATGATGTTAAAATAATACGATTGAGCTTCCTGCCAGTTCTCGGCATCTGAAATTGCCTTAGATATGGTTTCGTCAATCGTCCTCGGTGAAGATAAATCGATTCCATGACGTCCAAATATTCTAAGATTATCCACTCATATAGATCAGCTGTAGCTAATCTTGTAGACAGGAGGGTCACGAACTGTTTTGCTTCTTGGAGGAAGAGAGGGAGGGATCAGAAGCTGGTTGGTTAAAGGTCTGAATTTGAATCGGAGCAAGCTCATAAACCTTTTGAGAAAACTCGCAATTCAAGAGAATATGGTCACCACTTTCTTCTTGTCCACATTTCTAGCAATTCAAGTTTTCAGATACACCTCTTGCTGTGAGATTCTAAAGGGCACGGCTAGAGGAATAATGTATCTTCACCAAGATGCTCATGTCACAATCACCCACGGGCCACAGCGATTTGAAATGGGCCAACGTGCTGAATAAGTTATATTTTGCTTAAATTAAAACAAATTAAACATTGTTATATAATAAGCTATAGGATACATAAATTAAAACAAAATAAACATAAGGCATGAAAATGTTATATAATACATAGATTAAAACAAATTAAACATTGTTTTATTTTTTACTTGCTTATATAATACTTAGCTTTTTCCTATTATTTGTTTAATTTTTGCTTTTTGTTTTACTTAACCTTTTCAGTAGGTAAAGAGGAGATGGCACTGGTGGCATGGAATAGGCCAAACGATCTGTCAAGCGGCTCATCCAGTTTTCAAGTGGATACTCTTTCAGCACTTCCTCAGATAGTTACGACTACGGTGTAGAAGCGCTATACCGTTGCTCTCTCAGGACGGCCAAAACGGTATACCAGATACAGACTGGGTAACCAAAAGTCACGGATTGAAGAATATCGATCGGCTCCAATTCGATACTGAAGCTGAGTTACAATGGCATTCTACAACATTTTTGTAACGGCCCCGAACCTCGCTAGGTTCGCTGGGCTGGGCCATGGTCGGGAATGGGGAAAAGACTTGTCGGATAAAACGAATTAACCTGTTCCATGGCCCGGAAGGGAGGGCTAAGTCCGGAAATGATAAAGGACTTAGCTAAGGAAAAGAGTAGAAGATTGAAGGTCGGGAAAAGTTAGCCCGGGATGTTCCAAGTTAGTCCGGGATGGTATAAAGTTAGCCCGGGATGATAGTAAGTCCAGGATGATTCAAGGTTAACACGGGATGGCTTGATCCAAACTAGCTCGGGGTGCTTCGAAGGCTGAAATAAACAAGTCCGAGCTAAGTTCAAATACTTGAGCTAAAACGAGCTGAAAGGACTGAGGTAAACCAGCTCGGGCAGCTAATGGGTTTCAGCTGAAGGACCGAGCTGAATCAGCTCGGATACTTGACGGATCCTCAGCTAAAGGACCGAGCTAAATCAGCTCGGACAGCTGAAGTTGAGCTCGGGCAGCTGGACGAAGTGATGGTCGGCTGAGTCAGCTCGGGTACTATTATCACTAGCTGGTCGGGTAGTGAAGCTAGTTGGTCAGCTAGTTAAGCTGGCGAGTGGATGATCGGTTAAGGTAGGATCTCGCACGTACTAAGTGTGTGGCACGGTTATACCCGAACAGACATGACCGTTACCGAATGGGGACGTGGCACCCCTCGGTTTAATAAGACTGTTATGGGCGAGAATCCTATAAATAATCCTCGATCATCTTCTTCGCGGACACACAATCTTTTCACGGGATTTTTCCTGAAACACAGAAAAATATCCGAGAGCGAGTAAGAGCAACCGAGGGAGAAAGGAGATAACGCCGGAAGTATTGGGCGATTATCGGATAACGGGAGGATCGCCGGATTGCAACTGAGGAATCTCCGAGGAAGAGACTTACCGAGGGACGTTCCAGCGATGGAGTCTTCTACGGAGAGGGATGTGGAGAAACACACCGAACCGTCCGAACGTACGGCGAAGGTGAGCGCGATGCCGAGTAACTTAGCCGGGAAATTCCCTAACTATCGGCGATAGCCGAGACAGTATGGGACGGCTATGCAGTTATTCGGCCAAACTCTCTATTTCATCGGTTATATTCTTGTATCTGCTTGCCGATGGGGATAGATCAATCTTTAGACGGTCGGATCTAGGATGCGTGACTAAGACTGCAGTCTGTCACGGCCGGTCAAGTCAGTTCTCGATAATCTCGGCTATTTCCCCAAGTAGTCGCGGTTATTGGTGAACGGCTATGACTAAGGCATATAGCCGGTTACGGCTGGGAAGGAATCGGATATCCGAGGAAACTCACGGATCCAGCGAGCGGCTTGGGGATCGGATGAAATCCGCCAAGACTCGACTGTAGCCGAGAGATAACTCGGGTATTTCCTAGATAGCCAAAGGCTTAAGGGATTTCCACGGGATAAACTTAAGGGTCGGGAACATATAGTCATTGATAGGCGATTATGTATAACTTAGTAAAAGTTGGATTACTTACGCCTCTTTGATTTCAGGAAAGGATGGTGATCGTGGGAAGGACCTGGCCTAGGTGCGCGAGACACGGGCTAGGAAGGATGGGTGGTGATAGAATGGGTAGAATAGGATCGAACATTGTAATAGCCTATAGTGCAGACTCTATCAATTGTATCGAATCCTTTGTTATATAAATAAAAATCCAGTTTATCGTTTAATCTATGTTCATACTGACTCTATTACTTATGAATCTCAGAATGCTCGGATAAATGAACTTCTTTAAAGAATGGACCCTTAAAAATGGACTGATCGGGCTTGGATCACTTACTGATCCGAGTGGGAACAACCTCTCGGACGTAGTAGCCGGGATGAGGTGTTTCAATTTTAGTTGGAAAGAGACAACACCGGAATGGAAACTGTCCTGGTATGCACCTAGAACCAGATGCGACGAATACAATGTTTGTGGAGATGATGGAGTTTGTGATTCAAGGACGTCGCAGTGATTGTGCTTGATAGGATTCATGTCCATGAACAAGACGGAGACTGTAGCAGGCCATGAAGCAGAAAGGGTTCAATGTTCCAGGAACTCAAATCTGACTTGTGATGGAGATGGATTTATTAGGCTAACCAATGCAGAAAGGAAGCGTACATTTCTATATCTTTATTAAGTAGCTAAAAGTCTTTCTTTCTTACATTTCCTTATGGAGCCTACTCCTCTGTTTTCAAGAAACTCTGCTTTGACCTAGACCTGACTGTGCTTGTCTCGCAGACAAAGAGAAAAGTTTGAATATCACTGGTAAGTCACTAAGCCGTCCTTTTACATACGAGTATATGCATTGCATCGGGATAAAAGGGGCAGGAACTTAGCATTCTGGAACGAACGTGTAGGGACCTTGAATATCGGTGGTGTTTTAACACACACCTTGTTTGACTCCGGGGCATCACATAGTTTTGTGAGCCCGGGCATGATTGTAAAAGGGATGTTCCAAAAAGGATCAAGAAACGATTTTGGGATAGTCCGGGCTGCTGGTGGTCAAGCCATGTCCACGATGGGAATGGTATGTGACGTGCCGGTAAGCATCGGGGGCATAGACATGCCGGTGGATCTAGTCATTGTTAGCCTTGAGAATCACGAGGTGATCTTGGGCATGGACTGGCTCGGGAAATATAAGGCAACTCTTGACTGCCACCGGGGGCGTGTGCGGTTTGAGAGAGAAGGTGCGAAACTGGAATTCCAAGGGATTAGACCAACTTCGGGAAGCTTGGTGATCTCGGCAATCCAGGCAGAATGGATGTTTGAGAAGGGATGCGAAGCTTACCTGGCTACCATCAGTACTACGGAAGTTGGGAAAAGTGCCGAGATAAAGGATATCCCGGTGGTGAGAGACTTTGCGGATGTGTTTGAATCCCTGATGGGTTTACCCCCGGACAGATCAGACCCATTCACAATTGAGCTCGAGCCCGGGACGGCCCCGCTCTCAAAAGCACCGTATCATATGGCTCCAGCCGAAATGGCCGGGCTGAAAAAGCAGTTGGAAGAATTGCTGGAAAAGGGTTTCATCAGGCCGAGTAGTTCACCGTGGGGTGCACCGGTCTTGTTTGTTAAGAAAAAGGATGATAGTTTCCGGCTATGCGTTGACTATAGGGGCTTGAACCGAGTCACGGTCAAGAATAAATACCCCTTGCCCTGGATAGATGAGTTGCTGGATCAACTCAGGGAAGCGACCTGGTTTTCCAAGGTCGACTTGGCTTCGGGATATCATCAAAT